TGGGGTTTCATACAGAGCCCCCACTCAGTGTGGGACAGTGGGGGGGGATTGTCCCCCCCAGCAGCACCCAGTGAGTAGGGGCTTTTTTTTAAAGCACCGGGAGCTGGGGAAGGCAGATCAGCTATGGGGGGGCAAGGCTGGGGGAGTGGGTGAGGGTCAAGAGGTGCTGGGGGAGCAGGCAAGAGATGGGGCCTGGCAGGAGTCACCCCATGGTCCCCTCTCCTCTTCGCCACCCCCTATTTACCAGCTCTAAGTCTGGCTCCAGCTCCCTGCTGCAGCAAGTGGGGACTGCCCGAATCATCAAAGCTTTTCGAATCTTTTCTGAAGGTTTGGAGAGCTTTTAATTGATTCAGACATTTTTATTGTTCCCCTGATTCGATTCAGATTTGGGGAGTCGGCCACCGAATCAGGCCAAATCTCCTCCAAATTGAATCACCACCCGAAGCTTTGCACAGCCCTAGTAGACATGCCCAAAGAGACAAACAAAGATAAGCTAGCTGAGAATGCAGTCCCCAGGGTCAAGTGTTCTTTCATGTAGCAACATGAAAGACAGAAAGAGAAACACACAGCTTGGCCATGTCCCCATGATTGGGAACATGTGGTTTGTGGCACCTCAAACTCTTTTGTGGCACAGCAAAACGCACGTGGTGGTTGTGAATCCATTTGCTGGGAAATCACAGCATATAAAAAAAATACAGAGAAAAAAACAAGGCCTCACATGTGCACCACCAGAAACTGGAGCCTGGGGTTTGAGAAACAGAACCATTTTGCGCTCCAGTGCTGCAACAGTCCCAGGAGAAATAAAACAAGTCATTTGAAAAAAGAAAGACACTCGTAATTTTTTTCATGAATGCAACATGTATATGCAAGCTCTTTTAAGCATTCCGAGAATGAAAGTACACTGGGTGTTTTCCATTTCATTAAAATTATTCATTTAGCCATTTTGTCATGGGTGCAGACAATGGCAATGAATCCATAATGCCCAATATGCATAAATCTGGTGAGGGTCCTATGTTAATTTTAAGTATCTTAAAAAGTGCTGCACACATGCTAAGCCAAAAACTGCCCTCACCCACTGCCCGCACCACATCACAGCATACCAGAAACTTCAAGGGCTTCAGCACTCAGGACATGTTCTCTTTAGATCACAGTAAGCATTAATGTGCAACTGATCAGAAAACTCTAACTCACAGTAATGCTTACTACCATCTAAATACAACATGGTCTGGTCTAAGCGTAATGTGCTACAAAGCCCTCTGAGTGCAGTAATACAGTTACAGCAGTAGCTGTGAGGTAAAAATATCCAGCACCAAAAATGAGCTTTAACTAAACCCAGGCACAAAGTCTGACCCAGGCCAACACCCCTAACACCCTCATACCTTGTACTGCTTGGTAGCCTCCTGGATAGGAGCCACATTGTGAGCTCGATGGAGCCGGGACTCCCGGCAGATCAAGCATATGAGCTTTTGGTCCGTTTCACAGAAGAGCTTCAGAGCCTCACCGTGCTCATTACACATCAGCTTCCCTCTGGCTTCACCAGCTGACTGCACGCTCAGGCTCTTGACAATTTCTACAAAATGTGCCAGCTTCTTGTTTGGACCAACAATCATTTGGGGAAAGGTCTGTCTGCACTGAGGGCAAGTGCCATCTGTCTCAGCCCCTTCCAAGTACTGGGTGATGCAGGCTTGGCAGAAGTTGTGCCCACAGCCCATGATCATCACTGGATCCTTGAAGAACTCCAGGCAGATGGGGCAGGTCACTTCATTCTCAAGGTTTCCTACAGGAATTGCTGTAGCCATAGCTTGGATGGCAGAGCAGAGCAGAGCAAGAGCAGTTGCCTGAGCTAGAAATTTGTTTGATGGGACTTCCTGAGTGCCGGCTGCGTTTCATTTCCAAGAATGACTCAAATTGTTGCTGACCTACCAGGTGTCTCTGAGTAAAGTTAAAACCAAAAACTGTTCATCTTCTGTAAGGAGGAAGTAGGAACAACACCAATGAAAAGCTTTTTAATCAATGGCTTGAAGGTGCAGCAAAATAGGTTTAAATTAGATATCAGGAAAGCCTCACTGCTAGACTGTGAAGGCAGTGGAACAGACTGCCTAGGGAAGCTGTGCAATCTCCTCCATTGGAGGTTTTCAGGAAGAGACTGGAGAAGCACTGAACGACCTAGGAGTAGCTATGTGTGGAGCGCTTGGTAGAAAGCAGCCGATGGATTGTTGGGAGATAATGAGAAGAGCTCTTCCACTGAAAACAGGCATATATTGGGGGACCGTGCTCCATAGCAAGAGAACGAAGTGGAGTTTCACACTTAGTTATGCTTACTTATGAAAGAAGATTCAAGGAGCTGGGATAAGTTTATGGAGGAGATACAGAAAGGGGATTTATGATTGTCCAGTAAGAGGGTGCTGTTTATGAAGTTATGGTTGCTACCCCCAGGTAGCAGAGCAGAATGGAGGCGTTGGTTTTTCCCAAGCTTCTGGGCTTTGCTGGTTGCCACATGAGGCCAGAAAGTGTTTTGCCTTCCTGTTGTTAGAGGTAACTGTATTTTGGTTTTTGTTTGGGGTTTTTTGCACTTTCCTCAGAAGCACTGGTTGTTGGCTATAGCCAAGGTTCGGGATTTTGACTGGGCTGTGCAAATACCCCTGCTAAGACTGAAACCAGTCTTGCCCCTATTGTCCAGGTCAGACCAGTTTCCACATTTGGGCTCAAGAAGGAATCTTATCCTGCAGTCAGACTGCTAAGTACTATAGCATTTTTTGCCTTCCTCTATAGCAGGGGGCTGTCTAAATGTTGACCTGTGTTTCACATACTGCCCCCAAGGGATTAAGTTGTAGCCTCCTGGATACCACCCAGCCCCTGCTCCGCCAATTGCTTAAGCTGCAATACCAGCCAGACTCTGGGCTGCCCCTCTTTCCTCAGGATGCTTGCTGCTAACTGTCCCATCGGCAGATCAGGGCAAGGGGCTGGGACCTGCTCCTCCCCTGTAGCTCTCCCCAACATTTATGCTATGATTGCCCAATTGGGGCATGGGGCTAGAACCTGCTTCTAACCAGAACAGTTCCTGGCCAGCCTCAGGCTGCATAGGGAAGTGTGCACATGCAGCCTGGAGCTGGCCAGGGACTGCCCAAAATGGAACAGTCCCTAGCCACTTCCAGGCTGCACATTCAGACTCCCCCAAGCAGCCTGAGGCTGGTAGGAAACTGTCCAGGTCAGGGGCAGGTCCCAGCCAGCTCCAGGCTGAGCAGGGAACTCTCTCTGTACACACAGTTCCCAGCCCCCACTCCATGATCATGATCGGGTAGTGGGGACTGGGACAATTGTGTAGCTGGGGCTGGCAACGAGCTCCCAGCCCCCACTCTGGCATTGTGAATGGGAAGCGGGGGCTTGGAGCTCCCTGTTGCCAGGGCAGGGGGGAATTGTTCCCACCTGGGCTACAGTGGCAGAGCCTGTCCTGGCAGCAGGCAGCTCCAGGGGACAGGGAGCAATCTCCCACCCCCTGCTGCCTGGCTGACTGGGGGCAAGTTTGCTGGTAGCATATGTAGACAGTGACCTTTACTACACAATAAAGTGTCTCGTGTAGACATGCCCTGTGATACAGAAGGCCCCATCATGCCACTCCAGCAAGGGGAAAGTTCTGCAAAGGGAAAGTCAGTGGATTTCCATCCACCACCACCCTCATAGATTTCATAGATTTCATAAACATTAGGGCTGGAAGGGACTTCGGAAGATCATTGGGTCCAGCCCCCCGCCCGAAGGGCATGAAGTCAACTAAGGTCAAAGGATCCCAGCAATATAAGTATCCAGACATTTCTTAAAAGAGTCCAGAGTAGGTACATGCACCACCTCTGGCGGGAAATCTATTCCAGGCCTTGGGGGCTCAGACAGTAAAAATGTTTTTCCTTATGTCCAGCCTAAAACAGTCTTGGAGGAGTTTGTGACTGTTGGACCTTGTCATCTCTTGGGGCGCTCTGGTGAACAGGTGTTCCCCCAGATCCTGATGCACACCCCTGATGTACTTATAGGCTGCCACCAGGTCACCCATGAGCCTGCACTTTTCCAGGCTGAAGAGTCCCATGGCTCTCAGTCTTTCATCATAAGGCTTATTCGCTTGCCCTCTGATCATGCACGTGGCTCTCCTCTGAACTCTCTCAAGCTTTTCCACATCCTTCTTGAATTGTGGAATTCATAGATGATTTATAGATTCATAGATTCATAGATGCTAGGGTCGAAAGGAACCTCAATAGATCATCGAGTCTGACCCCCTGCATAGGCAGGAAAGA